TTTCATTTTGTTTTCTGTACATTGGAAACGCTGTCTCTCTCTGTGGTCTGAGTACAGGCTGTCGGTTACAAGTTTCACCCTTTTATTTGTTGGTTTCATGGCCTTGAGCCATAGCCTCCCTCAATTTCCTCATCCATATAACTTGGAAAAATAGCCCTAAACTCTCGGGAATTAACCAATTAGGGATTTCAAAGGATTTGAAAATCTTTCATGGTTTTGCTGCATTATTTTATTAGGAGTCTATTAACATGCTTCATCTTTTGTAGTTTTGTAAATTATAAGCAATAAGTGATCTGTCCTTTGTTACATTTACACTATTGATCTTTATTCTTGATTAAATTTACTGTTAAGTGAACCTCTTTTCACTGTTGGGATTTTCCTTTCTATTTCAAAGAATTCCTCAGCATAGGGAAGTGTCTTCCTTCACATGCCACTTTCAAAATGTAGTGTTTTTGTGGATTTTGAAGTTATTCTAAGTGTTTTACATTATTTCAGTACAGAGAAGAGCAAATTTGCTGAGTATAGAATGAGAGAGAGAGAGAGAGGGAGGGAGGAAGAGAGAGAAAGAAAGGGTCAGAGAGAGAAGGGAAACACATTCAAATGCTTCTTACAGATGAGAGGCCTAATAGCAGACAAATATAAAAAGATAGTTTAATGTATGTGTATAGGTTGAAGATAATAAAACAGAAATGGTGAATAAAATATTATAATAAAATTCATGAAGTTAGAAACATATCTATTATCTGTGTATAGGAGCACATAAATGCAATGTAAATAGTTTCCTAACTATAGTAAAATGAGAAATGATATGGATGAGCTATTTTTAAAGTAGCACCTTGTTTATAATAATGTTTTTTAATCCCTAACTTCTAATTAATGCAAGATAAACAACCCACCTAGCACATTCTATCATTACCAAATTACCTGTGTCTCATAAAAGAATCACTCTTTATTGCATTTTAAAATCATGAGTGTGTGAAAATTCCTTTCACTGACAGTATTTTCCTAAGTTAACTATAGTACATATTTTTCTGTATATTCTGTAAGACTACCATTCATTTTCACGAGTTATGCCAAACTTTACTCTTTTATAACATCATGAAAAGGGTATGTTCCCCGCCCTTCAGATCAAAACACACTCCATTTTTATCCATGAATTTCATGGCTCTTCCATTTAACTCACAAATGCATTCATTCTGTTACACAGTGCGTCCTGGGAGTAATTCCAGGAACAGCGAGCTCCATCCCTGCCCTTTGTTTTTAAAGCAACTTTATTTACTTATGAAACCCTCCCACGGGCACAAGTGGGGTGGCAGCCCCTGCCCTGCATCATCTCTGTGTCTGCCAGGGAGCGCCCCGTGCAGTGTGACCTGGGTCTGCGTCGTGGTAAAATGCGGTGTCCTGGTGTGGTAGTGATCTGTGTGGTCAACAGGAGCTGGCCATTGAATGCTTCAGAATCTGCAAGGCAGGCAGATCTCTCAGCTTCCCTCCCGGGGCTAAGTGGGCAATGCCTGTCCAGGGGTGGTTGGAATTCACCCACTGACGGGCAGCTTTCTGGGTTCCTGATTAAAATATCCCCTCCCCTAATATTTTGGTCCCTCCTATGACTTCTCATGTATCAGAGAGAAAGAGACAGAGAGCATTCCATCAAAATTTGCCGTATGACAAGATGTGATCAGGTTTTTGAAGGAAAGAAATGGTGCTCTGATGGAGAATGACAATGGAGTCTACTTGATATAGGGAGGCTGTCCAAGCTGAGATGTGAATGAAGACGTCCCAGTCCTGTGAAATGCAGAGGGGAATGTTCCCAACATGAAAGAAAGCACAAATGTGAAGTCTTCTTATGAAATGAAACCTGTCCTGTCCAAAGAAGGAAAATGATGGTATCTAAAGGCCCTACATGGAGTGTAGTTAAGGTGACTACAGGTTTACTTTTGATCTCTCAATGTCTATCGATAATCAAAAGGAACATGTGAGTCAACCAGAAGCAGTAAAGTGAAAAAAGACAAAGGTAACTTACATTTCGGGGGGGTTGGTAGGGGTGTACAATTGTCTGCCTTGAATATGTAGAAGTAACAGCACAGGCCATCAGGAATTTGTTTATAGTGGACATCCAAAGACAGAATAAATCAGAGGGGCCCCAGGCAGAGGAATGAAAGCCAAAAGACATAGAGAAACTTAACCCCAAAACTCCAAACGAAGCACGAGACTTGAGGTGCCTGGGAAGAGTCTGAGGGCAAAGTTCGTGTTCAGCCCCAAGAGCATTGATGAACGGCCCTCCAGATCAAGTCCTGGGACTTGTTTGTTGCAACCAGCTTAGATAAAAAGAGGACAAGCTGCCTTTGTGGAGCAAAATTAAAATATTTATTTGCCATCATGCCAAAGCTTTGAAAGTTTGTCTAAGAGAGCTCTTCGTGCAATTTCATTATGATGTGCCTTGGTGCCCTTTCTTCATGCATTTTTGTGCTCAGGTTACTTGAGCTTGTTGGAGGAGTGATTGTATAGTTGTTCCCAAATTTGGGAAATGTTTGGACAATAGTTTCCAAATAGTTTTTTTGGTTTGTTTCTCTTTTCTTCTTTAGAGACTCCAATTATACATATTGGAGGCTGTTTAAAATTGCCCCACAATTTAATGATGCTCTGTTCATTTTTTTTTGCCAGCCTCTTTTTGTTTTGTTGTTTGTTTGTTTGTTTTTTGCTCTGTGTTTCATTTTGGATAGTTTCTTTTTCTACGTTTTCAAGTTCACTGATCTTTTCCTCTGCAGTGTCTAGTACACTACTACGCTCATCTAGTATCTTTTTCTCCTCAGATATTGTAGTTTTCATCATTATAACTTTGAGTAGACTCATTTTTATATCTTCTGGGTCTTTCCCTCAATTTATGCTCAATGCTCAAAAACATGCTCAAATTTGTCCTATAGTTTATTAAACATATAGAATGGAACATATAGAATACAGTTATAACAATTGATTTAATGTTTTTATTAATAATTGTATCATCTGTGTTATTTTCAGATCTGTTTGGGATTTGTTTCTATTTTTCTGCTTCTTTTCATACTGGCAATTTTTCATTAAATGGCAGACATTGTGTATCTTATCTGTGCTGACTATTTCCGTATCCTCGTAAGTAACCTTGGTCTTTGTACTAGGACACAGTTGCATTACTTGGGAACAGTTCGGTCTTTTTTGGTCTTGATTTCACTGGGACCAACGGGGTCTTTAGTCCAGGGTTATGTGTGCCCACCACTCAGGCAAAACCCCTCACAGTGCCCTATTGGAACTCCGTAAACTTAAAGTGTTTTTCTCTCTGGTGGGTGGGAACACACTCTATTCCTGGCCTTGTGAGAACTTCAGGGCTGTTCCCATGATTCTTTCAGGCAGTTCTTTCCCCAGATGAAGATAGTTTCCTTTTGAGCATGCAATGACCCTCAGCTGAAGACTTAAGGAGACCCCTCTTCAGTGTGTCCTCTCTCTCTCTCTCTCTCTCTCTCTCTCCCTCCATCTCTCTTCTCCATGGTACTTTGCAGAGGGTACTCCATCCACTTTGGCCTCTGTGGGTTCTTAGTGTCATCTCCTCTATTCAGGGAAACAGTTGTTCCTGGGGAATCATCTTCCTATGCTGCCGCTGGAGACACTGTCCTGGCAGTACTGGCGGCAATTACACGGTTATCCTGTTTGCTTCCTATATCTCAGGATCACGGTCCTGTGCTGGCTGATATCTAATGTCAGAAAACCCCTGTTCCTTATTTTTTACTGTCTCTTTTGTTGTTTCACTTAGGAGAGAAATCCAGTCCCTGAATCTTCCTCTTGGTCAGAAGAAAAATCAAAATAATCAATATCTATTTTTCTGAAGTTATAAAAGGTACATGCAAGGAGCAGATGTTGGGAGCAGAGAACCATCAAAAAACTGTATCAAATAATGACTGAATTAAACAAAATAACACAGAGGACAGCAGATAATATTTATCAATGGCTTTCAGAGCGCCAGCCTCTATTCTAAGCACTTATATGAATCATCTCGTTTAATACTCTGAACAATCTTCTGAGGTAGGTAGTTTTCAAAATGCCCATTTTATAGATGTGAATACATCTATAAGAGAAATTAGTTAAATTGCCCAAGAAATTGTAGTTTACCAGATATGGGAATAGAACCCAGGTGATCTAATGTTAGAGTCTATATTCTAACACTATAGAAAAACGACAAAAGTTATTCAGAACAGAATAGTAGCAACTAGAACCTTAAGGAAAAAAACCAAAATATGGAATTTTATTGGCTTTGTTAGATACTCATAATTATTCATATTTTCATAATTATTCGTCACACCCTTGTTTTTTCCAAGGCCAGTGCAGTCTGGGGAGACAAGGCTATGCATCATCATGAAATCATATATGACTTACTGCCTCCACCCCTGCTGGCACACTTTCTCCACCTCTCTGAAGACTCATCCCGAAACCTTCCTCTTTGGTTCTAAAGTGTTCTAACATTTTAGACAGCGGCCACAAGTTTCTTCTTTTCTGTGTATATTACGAGCTTTTTGTGTTCAATGCACCTATCAAAACCGATGCACTTCATTACATAAATACATAGAGATACACATCATAGGCCCACCAAGTTTATACAATGTTTCACTTAGGAACATATTTTTTAAATGATCAAGTTTCACCCTGCCAATTTTTTTCACAGTCTATCTCTGTCACTATTGAATCTGATGTATGGAGTCGTATGACCTCAGTGCAATGGTGTCAGTGGACTTCATTTACCATTTCCTTTCTTTTGAGCTTTAATATAAATTTGTAAAGGCCATAGTATTAGATGGGATGTAAACTTGTGGTGGAATGTAGAGAGGCGACTTGTGTATGAATTTTGTGTTTGAGACCCTACATGTCCTGCAGTAGAGCTCTGAGCTGGCCCAGCCCCTATAGCTGCAGCCATGGCAGCCTCCGCCCAGGACAGGCACATCCTGTCTCAATCATGTGCCTTCTACACCGTGGCTACAGACCTTTCTCCAAGTCACCTCAGCCACTTTCCTCAGTCATGTGTCTTCCATCACCAGGGTTGCCATCGCTGTAGCAGACACTTTTCCTTAAAAGTCGCTGTACAACTTTGTAACAAAAAAAATGTATTTGTCAGAATATTTACTAAGGAGGAGAAATAGAACCAAGATCCTATAATATGAGGGGTAAAAGAGAATGATATATAGTAGCTCCAGGTTCAAAGGTCTGTAACTCTATGGGAAATGCTCACAGATTAGAAAGTGTGTCAGTCAGGATGGTCTAGGATACACTAGTTACTAACAAACACTGCTCACTTCTCAGGGGTTACTCAGGCTGGCCAATAGCACAGGTTTATTTCTTACTTATATTCTATGTCTATCTGGCATCAGCTTCGGCTCCGCTCAGTGTTATCATTAATCTGGGACCTAGTCTAATGGAGCCACTATCTGGAACGTTGTCAGACTCGTTGCAGAAGAAGAAGAGAAAGGAGTGGCACCATGAGCTGGCTTTCGAGGCTTCTGCCCAGAGACAGTGCATGTTGCTTCCTCCCACATTACATCGTCCACACAAGAGACATGGCACTCAGCACGGTAGGTTCTGGCCTTATGCAATCCTCCCAGTTCTCCTACTAGAAGAAACACAGTACCATGGCCAACCCTGATATTCATGGGCAAAGAAGTCCAATGCCCAGGGGGAAAAACATGAATATTTTGAACAATAAAACAACTAGGGAATGAGGGCTTTCTTCCTCCATCACAACAGGTTCACATGTGACTTTAAGGACTTAGCCTTACATTCTCCCAGTGAGAGCAGAGCTAAACATTGTTATCTGAACACAGATAACAAATGCCAGCACATATGGAATGGGCATTGGAGTAACTAAGTTGTTGCTCCCATTAAGAAGTAAGTTAGTGGGAAAGAGCTACAGACCCAAAGACCAAATGAAAATGACAGTGGGACCCTTAGGTCCCGTGTTAGCAATTAACACGTGTGTCTAAATTATTCAGATTGGCTTCCACAGGGTAGTGCTTAACCTCTTCCTTCTCCTGTCCATGTAATGCAGTTGTGAAAAATTCAGAACATAGATGTCAGTCAATAGAGAGAATAAAAGTCATGTTTCTATCAGGGATTTGAACAAAAGATTTCTTTTTTTCAGTTTAAGGACCTCACAGCCCTGGGGAAACAAGGTAAAATGGAGTTTAATTGTCTCATTTAAGAAACTGAGATTATTTTATTTACATAAAAATTTCTTAGATTAAAAAATATAATTGCTGGGACCATGGACAACACCTGTCAGAGGGGCTCTCTGAATCGGCAGCAAGTTGTGAAAGCTTCATTTCCCTCTTCTGAATGTGGGGCTGAAGGTCACTTTAGCTATAGAATTAGGGATAGCAAGCTGCATAGAAAATAGCACAGTAGAACCTACAGGAAAAGATCACCCGGTGAATAATTTTGAGAGTAGAACATGCAGCATGGAAGTGTTTTAATTGCCCCTCATGGTCTCTGCAGACAACCATGCTGATGTATTAAACACTCCCCAGCAAAGAGCGTCAAGTTCCCAGGGCAGAGCCTCAGGCTGGCCAACCATCAGTTCCAGGAAACGTCACTTCCTGGGAAGCTTTCCTTGACCTGAGATGGGGCTTTACACTGAAGAGTCCACATTACTGTTGTTATACTTGAGTTCTTGTCATACATCTTTACAAGTAGTACGTTGGCACATGATGTATGCTGTGCAAAGCATTTTTTACAAGCATTATGCGCTGACAAGGGAATATCAGGAAGTCTCTCTTTCTAATTATATATGTAATAAAATTTGAAATTATGGATTTCATAATTATGAAAACTATGTAACCACATGTAAGGGGTGTACCCATTATATTAAGTTTATGAGCAGAAAGCCATGCTAAGTAAGAGAAGACTACAACCACACAATCAAATGTCGCCTTTTGAACACCTGAGTTTGACAAAGTTAGTTTGGTCATAGCAATCACAGTCATGGTTGTTAAGAGCTGAGGACAGAACCAAGGGCCATGCCCCAGCAGACAATTATTTTATGGATGTAAAAAAGAGATCAAAGGGAATGAGAAAATACCAAGCAGGGAATCAGAGGAAATGAAATCAGGAATTAGGAGTTCATCAAGAATCAAATGCAATATAGTAAGAATTGAAAATGGGCCACTCTATCTGCTATATCTGAAGTCCTTAGTGACTTCTTAAAGAGCAATTTGAGTAGAGTTGTGAGCCAAGTTCAATTGCAATGTCTGGACAGTTCAGCCCCTGCCCATTCACTTCAGGTGTGCATGGGTGCCAGGTAGGGTGGTCATATTCTATGTACATCAGTCCTGGTCTTGTGGAATTCTACCCTAACTATAATTTCCTAGACCATGAACCAGGTTAATAAATGCATTTTACACACTGTAAAACCTCATGTGTGCATGCATCCACCCATACACACACACAAATCCTAGGACAAAATTTTCACTAAGTAATACCAGTGCTTACTGTATGCCATATATGTTGAATTTTGTTTCTACTCTATTCTAGTTCATTAAAAACACAATGATCATGACCAACCAAAATGATTCCACAACCACAAACTGGGATGCTTGCTATTAATATTTGAGAAGCAGATGCCTGGAGTGAGGGAAGGAGGGCCAGCAGCACACACTGACCTTCCTTGAGCTTTCTGCTGAATTATTCAGGGATGTTACAGAGCTGGGGTGTGAAGGCGCCCATCCTCAAAGGAGGCTTGGCAGCACTGAGAACCCAGGGCAGTCACTCCCTGTTGCTGGAACTTCAGGTCTTGGTGAGGGGAAGACAAGAGGAAGAGGGAGAGGGAAGTGGGTGGCTAGGTCAGTGGGAGAAGCTGGGCTCCACGGGGTATTCCAGGTCCCAGTGCTGCAGGAAAGAGAAAATGATAACCAGGGATCTCCAACCCCAAGATTCTATTCCTTGCAGGGGCCTCCCCATTAATCTATAGACATTAACTGAAGCCGTGGGACCCAGCCTTCTCTTGAGGGTGTAATTACCTAAGGACGGAGTGATTGTAGTGAAGGGGCAGATAGAGAGGTTGTGGAAACATGGAGGAGCAGGTAGGACATAATTTCTCTCCTTTCCTTACCCTTTCCTACCTTCAGTCTGCTCTTGCAAACATGCCACTGATTGTGTTGCTGTCTACTTTTCCTCAGTGCCACAGGCAAAGTTGGCAAAACGCACGATTCTCCCAGGAACTGAAACACAAAGACCACATAGCTTCTCCACCCACTCTTTGGGGTTAGGAGAATGCCTGCTTCCTGTGACTCCCTCCACACCCTTGACCAAGCCCCACTGTATCTTAGGAGAAAGTATGCAATGTACACGATGTGCATTTAGTGGGTGCATACTAGGTATTCAAGGGGGTGTTTTTTCACATTTCCCTAAAGCTACCTCTTATGCTACCAGAGTTCAAAAAACGAATGCACATGGAGATGGAGTAGAGCATCCCAGGACATCACAACGCATGAGGTCTCTTTCCTCTTCCCTGCTAGGGCACACACATGCACAGTGCACGCTCAGGCACTCCCTGGCACATGTCCACTTGGGGCTGCCCTGTTCCAAGTTCCACACTTTGCAGCTTCATTGTTCTCTTGGCTTCTTTTCTTCTCTCTTTGCTTCCAGCTGACCTGGCAGTGAACCCAGGGTTGAATCCTTTGGCCATTTTCTATTTAGTATTCTATCCTGGTCTCTCCTTGGTTACTCTGCTTCTGGTGGAGAAGTTCCCACTGAAAGAGAAGTGCAGTGAAACAGGGGCAGCAGAGAAAGGATGTTGACGAACAAAGACACATCACTTCACGGTCTTGCTCAGAACCAAACTGTTCTCCCTCCAACCTGTCCAAACGCAAGTAGAGATATTTTTGTTCGTACCAAATACAAAATCCTTTGGCAGAACCACTGACCACAGAAGTCACAATTAAGTCAGCCAAATCTCTGCTCTTTAAGTCAGAAATAAGGCCCAGGATTTTTCACTTTTTAAATTTTTTCTCAAAGTAAATATTTCAAAGAACACGTCAATAAGATTAGATGATTCCCAAATGGAGGTCAGATATGCTCAAATGTGCCATCCCTTGCATAGCTATAAGTAAAGGAATTTTAGAAAATAAAACCCTCCACACACTTTAAATTTGACATAAATATCTATTTCGTGGAGAAATTGTAATGCTAAGCACAGAATCTAACATAATAGGTAACATTAGTTGAGCATTTACATCACAATACAAGAGAAGCTATTAGCTCCATTTTCTAAGGAAGAAATGGAGAGATACAGAGGCTAATTTGTCCAGAAAATCAGGTAGTGAGTGGCAGGTCCAAGATGTAAACCTGGTTCATCTTGCCAATCTGCATGCTTATCTACAGAAATATATCCTCTCAGCATTTAACACCCAACTCTAAAGAGCTAAAAAAAGAGCCGCTGCTTACTATCGGTTTTATAATTATTGTCTTACAGTGTTGGCTTGTAAGCAGAATAGAATGAATTGAACAGTTGTATCAAAAACAACCAGATACTATCTATCGGGAGGAAAGCAGATGAAAATGCAAAGGCAATCATCTAAATTAACTCCCCAAGCCATAGGATAAAACTAACTTCACTGGGAGGCTTAGAAAAATTGCTTTTTCCATTAACAAATGGAGGGGAAATGACAGAAATGGGCCAGACTGCCTTGTTTGGAGAAAACATCTCTTCTGGTGGAACACTGTCTGCACAAGTCCAAACCAGTATTCCCACCGGGCGTCAGACACGTCATCAGTTTATCATTGTAGCCATCAATGGGTTTGTTGGGTGGCAAAAGAAAACTCATTTGAGTTTTCTACGTGTAGGCAAGGATAAGGGATCTAATGGGAATGTGCTGTCGGTATTTTATTTGTGGGCCCAGCAAAAGAATCTAGGGCAGTGGTTCTCAACCTTGGCTGCACATTAGAATCACCTGGGAATCTTTTTAAAATCCTGATTTCTGGGCCTCATCCTCCGGAAATTCTGTTTCTTTGTTACTAATGTTGTGGCCCCACCCCAGAACAAAGAAACAGAATTTCCAGAGGATAAGGCCCAGAAATCAGGATTTTAAAAAGATTC